TATTGTAAAAAAATAGTGATCTCTATTTTGTGAGTTTCGAAGTACATTTTAAAATATCGAATTCAGCTCCACGTTGGGCGCCAAATAGACTTACCGTAACAAATTGACAGTGGCACCTCGTTACTTCCACACATTGTGGCCAAACATCCACCAACATCTTTCCTCTCGTTCGTATGTAGCGGCAAAAATAGAGACAGACATTGATGCAGGTTGGTACTCGTTCGATTCAACAACGGAGCGACAGTCCGTGACCAAACTTCGTGATGAAAGCACGTGTTACATTTAAAACTAACGAAATACACTGAGAATTCGACAAAGACGTCTCCTGGATTTTGTATGAATGTAATTTGCATACAAATATGATATACGCTCTCGTCTTATAATACGAGAACTTTTGATTAGTTTAATGTTAATTATGCAATAAATGAAATCGAGTTGAGTTGCTTATTTTTTTTTATTTTAATTTCTGTATTTTACAGAAGCATTTTTTTTTACTACAAAAAGATATTTTATATATATTATACTATTTCCTCTTCCAGAGTTGCTATTTACATGCTAATAATATTCTTGTAGAAATGACTGTCAATTCTTCATAGTTTCATCTACGTGATCATAAATAATATTGTGTCCATTGAAAATATCTGAGTATGTTCAATTTCCTGACAGTCATTTAAGTCGGCGTTACAAACAAACGAACTAACGCTTGCAATTATAACATTAGTTACGATTAGTCGTTTTCTGTTAAAAATCTGTATCAAGAAAAAAAAAATACACTGATTGAGTTTATTTAAAAAATCATAGACGATTCTTTCACACTCCCACCCCAAATTACACAAAACACAGCAACACCAAAGTTACCTTTTCCCAGGATTGTCTCAAAATGTAGTTTTACGCCTATATTATAGTGTGTAGGATTATAATAACTATTTAAATAAATAAACACAATAAATTCAAAGCGTTTTTCTTTCTGTAATTCTAATTATAATCTTAAATTTTATTTTTATTTTCTAAATTGAAGTGGTTATGCGCTTGGGGGCTTGATTCTTGGGGGCTAGTATTAAAAAAAAACCCATTATGCACTAAGCTAGCCTGAGATACATCCTGCTTATACTAACCAAGTGTTAGGAGTAGAGTGCAAGTGAAAATACTATAGAATTAAATAGTATTTTAATTTTCATAGAACTAGAATTTTTTTTTGATATTTGTTATATTAATGATCTGATCGATAGTGTTATTCAGACTATACGTATGGTGAGAAAGTTTACAGTCATCATAAATTCTTGTTATGGAAATTGGGCTATACAAGTTTTTTCCTCTCAAAATTGATCACGTGAGTGGATATGGAGTACCTGACATCTCAATATACATATACTAATGTTATAAAATTGAATTCTGTCATGGAGCATTACCACAAAAACGTATTTTTTAAATGTTGTAAGTATTTAACTGCAGAACTATAAGAAACGAAGGTTTCTCTGAAAAGTTGTAATCTGTAATCTGCAGTGAAATTCCCGGGAACTGGTACTCAAAATCTCCTGTCACAAGAAATGAAAATACACGATTGAAGCCTGTTACCATATACCATCTGTATACAACCATAAGGCAAGCCGTATACAAAATCACTACCCTCAATATTTAAAACTTAGCTGTACATGCATACAAGAGTAGATTGAACTAAACTTTGCGTAATATCTTCGTAACTCAGCATTCGACGCTGCCTGTACCGTGACCTATATTCACATCTATTCCGCTAACCTATTACTGCGTTATATACCTTTGTGTAGCCCATTGTACATAGACAATATATTAATCTCGCAGAAGAAAAAATATCTGGTCTTATTCTTAAGATTTCGTGAACACGCATGCGTTGGTATTAAGCTCCGCCTTCAAACGAAAGAGATAACTGTCACTTTCGTCTTTCAGCCGTTCGAAATCTGATTTCAGGGAGATTGATTTCAGATAAAGAACGGAATAGGAATAAAATCTTTTTGTTGAAAGAGCCATATCAAGTAAATCACTCTTTTCATAATATGAACATATATTTAAATACATTTTAGGTCAAATTTTTTTTGACATTAAAAAATATAAGAACATTATTAACTATTTGTCATCAACAATTAGCAGATCTTGTATTTGACAAATGATAAGCATGCTTAAACACTTTTTAGAAATACATAAGTATTATTAAAATAAACAACCACCATAAACACAAGTTGCTATGGTGCGAGAATCGAATCCTCAATCATTTGAAACTAAACCTCTAGCTCACTGATATTGTAAAATATATTTAACATCCAAAAATTACGCACATTGACTACAATAAAATTAAAATAATTTCAATCTACATTCCTGTTAACAAAAGCGGTGTTATATTTAATTAATATTAATATCGTTAATTGTTACGTAATTCCATGGCTCACAGCACTTCTACGTGAGGTAATTAGCCGAAAAGCACTGGCGAAAAGTTGAACAACGTTATTTCGTATTTAATAATAAATTGGCGCGAATGAAGCGTGCTGTGCTGCTTTCCGTTTTGGCGGGAAATATTTTACTCATTATTTTAGGTTATGAAATAAACTAGATCTTTTGTGAGCATACATACATTAAAATTGTTGAACTTTCTGCTGGTCGTCACTCTATTTAGCATTACTTTGAGTAGTATTTTACATACTATTTCAATCACGCATAGTTTCAGTTGAAATGTTAGTGCAGAATTTATTAATAGTTCCTGTCGAGTTTAGGTAAATTCGAAACAGTGATGGTAGATTTGTTAGATATGTGTCTTTAATTTTAATAATTCAAAAATACTTGTATATTATTATATACTATTGTATTATTGTAGACATTAATTAAGTGATTGTAAATAAAATTGTATTGAAATGAAATGAAATTAAAGCTCAGGCGGCTATTGCTGAGGTTGTAACTAGATAATATTTTATATTAAAAGAGATAAAAATATATATCTATAAAGAACACGTAAGAATACAGTAAACAGGTAAAGTAGTAGGATAAATTTATTCCTATGCCTTTGATTTCATTCAATTTCAATTTGTTAAATTTGTTCATATTTAAATATGTCCTCATAGATTTCTTTATTAAATTCGAATGGCAAATAAGATGACCCCCTCCTGGTGGTAAGCAGTAACCATCGCCATTATATGTAACTAAGATGTCAGGCTTATTATCTTGTAATTTTATAACACTAATAGCTAGACATATTAAATTGGTTGTTTAAACACAACCACAACCAAAGGTATTCCTGATGAATGTCATTTAATATTTAATTCAGACAAAAAGACTGAAATATGCTAGTTTAATAATTAAGTTCACAACATTAAGATTAATAACATTAAAAAAACTAATACACCTTCTGCAACTACAATTGACACAAAAAAATGAAATTTTAACTTATTTTGAACAAAAAAATATAGATTTTATAGAACCAATCAATAATCTGATATTATTATACAAATTAAATTTAAAAATTTCACAATTTTTTTAGTAAATGTGTCTTGAAAGCAAGTTGTTATTTGTTTGACCAATCCAGTAAAAAGTTCTACATAGATATTGTAATTTATCTCATCCATGCCACCAATTGAAATAAAACTTAGATTTCTTGTTAATATTAATGTTGTTTTCTAATTTTACGTTTTTATTGGTTTCCTCTTCTTCAGGGTGTTCTTGGGGTGGTGATGAGATACAATATGGTAGTATTATACAATCTCAGACACCCAATAAGTAGAACTGGTGGAAGGAGGGAAATAAAATTACATGGATTAAATAAAAAATATCATGTTGTATGAAATGACAATAACTCAATCACTGATGCTTTATTTCCTGTGATAAGAAGCAACATAAGAACAAATTGCAATACCTAAGTGTAAGAAAAGGCAAATTCGAAAATTGAACTCTTTCACCAAACTTCTTGATTACTGTAGCATGTTAACGTTTAAGATACTAATGTACCACAGTAGTCATTTCTAACTTAGAATGTGGAGACATTACAAGAGAAAGACAATTACCAGAGAAAGTTGCATGCCCTACAGTGGAATGGTTATGAATTGTTGTACATATATATAATAATGTTTGCATTTTTTTTTAATACGTTGTCAAACACGTATATGCTTATCTGATGATAAATGATTATTGTACCCTATGGACGCCTTGGGTCTCACGAGTGCATTGCCGACCCTTAAGAAACCTTAATATATCCTTGTAGAAATATAACTTTAATAGACTAAAATAAAACCTAACTAGACCTTGATAATGGTAAAGGTTTGATTCTCGGGTAAGTCAATTAAATGGTAGATACTAAATTAGGTGTTCATTATACATTTAATATAATAATAGTTCTCATTTATGAGTAAACATAATAATTCATTTTTTTTCAAAATTTTCTAGTATTTATTTAATCCTGATCGTACCTTATAATAGTTTATCTAATTATGGAACTATGGTTAAATATTTATATAATACAATGCTTCGTCATAGTTCTTTATACTTTTAGGTTATATTTTTTATAGTACTAACTTCATCATTTGCATTACAATATTCTATGCAAGTTTCAAGGAGTGAATTCATATTTTTCCTAGTACAAAACCTATAAAGCCGCGTCCCCATCTTCTCGCTGTCTAGTGATCACTTTTTTGTACTTTTTCTACAGATTTCAATTCATTACACACTGTAACTAGACGAAAGTTGCCGTTTTAATTAAAGATATTCACTGAAAACCCGCCCCTGAAGCCTTAACTCACTGAGACGTGGTTGGCTTATTTTTTTTTCGACACACTCATTCCCGCCTCTGCGACCCTCCCAAACAAACAGTGGAGTACTTTCAAAACAAATTTTCCGATACACCAAAACCAACTTATTGTGGTGCATATATAATTCAAAATTGTATATCAAAATCTTGGACATATGACGTTACGGTGCTGGAATACTGCTTTCAGTTCATTTCATGAAAGTGGAGACAGGCTCGCTTTGAGTCAGTTGACCGCGGAGCACGCGAGAGACAACATCAAGGGTAATTTTACGCGACTCGTGAAATTACGCGGAAAACTTTACGCCGCACGTGAAATTACACGTTAAACTTTACGCGACACGTGAAGTGTTGTGCTGTGAACATTGCTTTCCTTTCTATTGCAACTACAATAACTAGTGAATAACTGTCAGCATATTAATTTGGTATGTATGTATTATTAATATTTATTGATAGTATGAATACCGTAAAATATTTATGTTAATTATTAAATGATATTATTACTTTTGAAGACAGTGAATTACCGAACTTAGATTTATTAATTAGGACCAAATTAATTTAATAAATATACAAATTAAATAATTAAAATTTAACAGGACTTAAAAATAATTATAATAAATATATTTATGATTAATAATTAATTATTTTTTAAATAAATAATATCGGCTCAATAAATTTATTAAGTATTTTCCAATAAAATTTTAGTATAAAACACTAAAATTTTATTGGAAAATATCGGTGAAGTGTTGAAATTGTACTTTCAAAAATTGACTTTAAGTATGCGACTTGAAATTTATATAATTTTATTACCAGTATGTATATTTTGAATATATAAAATTAAATAAGTTCTTGGAGTTTTTTATAAAAAGAAATCCCGAGATTTTATGAAACAAGTAATCAATTCTTGATAGGTATAGGTATTCAGAAGAAATATTGTAAAAGTTTAATATTACTTTATATTTTTTATAATGTTGAAATGAAATAGTTTGTAATTATTTGAAAAGGAAAAATTATTATAGTATTTATGTTATTATACAAAATATTAGTTTAATATTACTTTAAGAAAATAATATTATACTAATACTTTACTGATTTCAATTAATCAGTAAAGTATTAGTGTAATATTATTTTATATTATATAAATACTAAAATGTATTTGATTGTGTATTATTATTAAATAAATAATTACAATTATTTCATTTCAATATAATAAAAAATTGTAATAGAATTCTTAACATCTTAGTATTTATATAATATAATTAATTCCAGTTCATTTCTCATAATTATTCAAATTTATCCGTAATATCCCATAACGATTATTTTCGTATTTCAAATTTCGGTGAATTTTAAAATATAAGTTTTTAAGCGTAATAAAATTAAAAAATGTTACCACTAAAAATGAAACTCAATCAATAAAATTTTATTCTAAATATTCAATACCATATGTAAATTAGTGGGTATTAATATGAAATGAAGATATTAAATATCAACTATTTATTTTATTTTTGTTTTTTTATTATTATATTTAACAGCAATAACGTTTTAATTATATTACACCTGCGCAACTTCGTTTGCATCATACTTACTTGACATTTATCAGTATATTTCGCCGAATTTCCATAATATAATTTTAAATTATTGCCCATATGGTATTATGATGTATAAGCTACAGTTCTGATGTAAAGTTTCATCAAAATCCATTCAGTAGTTTTTGCGCGAAAGATTAACAAACATTCATCCATGTCAGTATGTATCTATCGATACATACTCACATGGATGAATGAATGAAATGAAATTATACTTTCGCGTTTATAATATTAGTAAGAATAAGTAGAGATTGTGAATCTAAATAATAAGAATATTGACTTCAGTTATCCGTTAAAATCTAATGGCAAAGAAAATATACAAGCCAATAATAAGTAGTTTTTCTCTTATCTGCAAATGCTTTTTGAATAGTAATATAAATGCGGTTTTATTGCGGTCATTACCACAAAGCCTGCATCGGAATATTAATCAATTGTACCACAAATTGCGACATTTTCTCACATTTACTTTGTATTAATGCGATATTTGCTAGAGTTCTGTCATATTATATTGAATATAAACAGACAAACAACAAATTATATAAGTCAGATATAGCTATATATACGTGATTAATACGTATATTAATGATAATTAAAATACAAATATAGAATTTTACAGCGTCATCTATTATATCAATAGAGACAGCGTATTTAAAAGTAATAAAAAAGACTTAACTTAGAATTAACTATAATTACATAAAAATTTTCAAAAATTTATTTAATTCACATATTTAAGAACATGCTGAGAAGTTTCATACCTCCGTCTGCTATTTTTACTAAAAACCATAAAACAAAAATTGAGAGTGTCATGTGTTCGTGATTTTACTACTTTATTAGGCACTAGCTGCTCGCACGGGTGTACTCGTATTATATATATAAACCTTCCTCTTGAATCACTATCTACTAAAACAAACCTCTTCAAAATCCGTCGTGTATTTTTAAAGATTTAAGCATACATAGGGACGGACAGACAGTGGCAGCTATTTTGTTTTATACTATGGTGATGATATGTAAAAATTAGAAAAATAGACGTAAGAATTAATATATTTACTTTACCCTTACTATCTCATAAGGGACCAATAAAACAATGTAAAATATTCATAGAATAAGTAAAAAATAATCATAATAATAGTAAAAATAATGACTAGTTTACGTACATTAAAATACGTGTATGTAATATGTATAAGTATGTGATTATCTCCTCAAACTCAGACGGAATGTCTTATTGTAGTTATTATAATTTTTTTACTATTTAATTTATATATTATATAAATTACGTGCATATACGTGCATATTTTTTAGGACGGTTTTTCTAAATCTAAATATATATAACTCAAAGGTCTGACATAGTGATCTATCAACGCACAGCCCAAACCACTGGACGGATCGGGCTGAAATTTGGCATGCAGGTAGATGTTATGACATAGGCATCCGCTAAGAAAGGATTTTAATTAATTCTATCCCCAAGGGGATAATATAGGGGATGAAAGTTTGTATGAAACTTTGTCAATTTTAAAACGATCGGGCTGATACTTTGCATGCACAAAGCTACTATGACGTAGGCTTCCCCTAAGAAAGGATTTTGATAAATTCCACCCTTAAGGGATAAATTACCACATAAATTACCACGAGCGAAGCCGCGGGCAAAAGCTAGTCTTTAATAGTTTGATTTAAAGATTTAGTTTAATGTTTTCAATTTCATTAAAGGAAGTCGCATTGCTATAATAATGTGCAGTACATACTTACTAGAAAATTATATTTATGTGTTCAAATAATCTAATGATCATCATTACACGTGTAGTATATTTATCCATTCACGTAATATCGTTTGATACCCACTACATTAAATCTATTTCACAAATGCCTTGCATGACTCATGGACATAGACAACACAACCTGTAATTTCTTTAAAATACATTATTGATTTTTAAATGAACAAAATCGCATTTATTATTATCAGTTGAATGTATTCATATTTTTATAGTATAGAGCTATTGTAATAAAACACAAAAAATAGTATCGGATTTCTAATAAATATAATATTGAAATATTAACAATTAAGGGATTTTTAATTGGAGGCTAGACTTGTCTCTAGTCTTCAGGAACGTCAACTTATGAATACTACGGACTTTTTTTTCGAAATTAGCCGTTAGCCGCAATTAGCTTTTATAGCTTCACTGAATTATTGAGGACAGATGACATTCTAAACCCGTGGAAAGACTGATGGGGCGGCTGATGGCCTGACGGATACGACGTTAGCCTAAGGGTATCGCTAGGTGTTCGAGCCTCGGCTCAAATCGTCTTAATTTCGATCCCCGTTTGAATTGAACGGGGAATCAATCAGAGAGAAATACTACAGATGTTACGTGATAAGGTAATGTTACTAATCATATACATAGGTGATAGTTGCCGTTAACCGTCTTATGAGACATCTGCATACTTGTCCTCCTTTTATATAAATATAAGCGAAATTAAAGGTATATTCGTGGTGCTGTTCATGTATATAGACCACTGTTACTACTTACTATTAGGTGGTCATCAATTAGTCTACTATTCCAGTTATGTCAAATAAAAATAAAATTTAATACGATAATGTACTGATTTCATAACAATTTGTGGAAATTGTGTGAATGTTTTAAAAGTAACCCACCTGTTTCGAGTTAAGTTACAAATTCGTTGAAACAATCGGCAACTTCGCAATTCCATGTCTACCAACCGCTGTTGAGTTTCTAAGACTTAACAACTTTACACTGAATTTGAAAACAAACTCTTGTGTCGGTTTACGCAACTTTTTTATATTATGAATATATAGGATATTAAAGAAAAGTATGTAGGTAGATATTATATCTTATAGATTTTACGTCGCAATTTTCGTCGTAAAAAAGTCGTTGGCTAAGTTACCCCTAACGCTCACCATTTCAGCCCTCAAGCAGCGTTTCGATATGAGAAAAGGCAGTGAAATTACAGGATAAGAGGCATGGAATGGCAAATCTGAGGTAGTATCACGGGCCTCACATAACAACGTTTTTTCAGTAGTTTTGTCAACTTGATTGCCATTCAAATTACTTAAAAAAATCCACATACCAGGGCACATGGTATCATTAGTTTCTCAATAAAATAAATTTTGTTTCTAACTCATCTCAAATATACACAGTGCTTCCATAAACTCTAGATAGCAAGCAATATCTGACAAAATAGACTATCCTATCATGATGATCATGATCCGATGAATCCTATGAATTTTAACAATATTTTCTTTATTACCTTTCATGGAAATTAAGATGTTAGTAGAAATTTTATAAAAAAACTAGTGAAATTCGTAGGGCATTTTTATTTAATTAAAAGAGTTTTACAGACGGCAATATTATCGCTACGATCTTTTAAAAATAACATGTCGAAGGACATATATTCATATAGAGCGTTTGGACAGAACCTATTCTGGTTATGACAATGTTTTTTTTTATTTTCATGAAACTTTTATATAAGTAAATTTCAACTAAATTCTTATACCTATTGGCCTTATATCGTTTTCCATACAGTAAATTGTATTTATTACATCACAAAGAAAAATATGAAATAATTGTTCATATATTGAATAATAATTCATATTTCGAAAGTCCAATCGAAATCTATGCAATTAAAATAAACGATTTTTATCCACGTGGGTTAGCTGATGTCAATTTTCTCTGATCCCAAAGTCACATATAGTATATTGAAGGAAGGTCCTGAAGAAAAATGGACCCTCGGTGAAGAATGCTTCTTGCGTTGAGGTGGCTGTATCGTTGATCAAGGTACCGTATACATTTTGGAGATCTGGATCTGTTAGGAAAATAATTAAATTCTCTATTACATTTATTGCTATTTTTTATATAATGGAATGGTCAACAAACTGACTGCACGCCTGATGGTAAATGGTAAAAATCACTTCCTCCGTATATGTAGAGCGCCAAGGTCACTGCGTTAAATTATAATACTCGGGATTATGATCTTCTGCCTCTAAGCCCTGCAATTGTACTGCTAATGGTAACCCTAAATAGAATAACACCAAAAAGACCAAAAAGATAATTTATGATGCCTATGTAATCCTTTAAGATGCCATTCCTGGGAACTAAGGTAATATGATTGTCCTATTCTCAATAGAATTATATTGCCATAGTCCCTATATTCCAGAATATAGTTTGCAAAGCTACTTGACAGTAGAAATAGGTAAGAAATCATGTAGTAAGGATTCAAAGACGTCGCATTACATGAAATAGGTATAATAGGATTTTCTCAGTAGAAAATATTTGTCCATTAATATTACGCTCTCAACTTCAGGTCTCTGGCGTCTTTTGAAATTCCATCAATGAGTGTTTACGCAAGAGGTTTATTTTAACGATGATAATATATATATATATGTATGTATAATATACAACTACATATTTTTTTACATTTTATATCATAATAGTAAAATAGTCGAAAAATCTAAAATAAAACAGATATTATGGCTCGTCTGTTACGAGTCGTAGTATGATATTTAATAGCCTTCCTCGGGAATTGGACTATCAAATGCCTTGACTTGCATAAATGGTTAAAATGTTTCTAAATAATTTGAGTATAATAATAAAGTTTATTAGGACAGATTATATTATTTAAAACGTATTAGGAGTAGAATCTATGGATTACAAAATTTACATTAAGATGTAAAATAGAATGGAATATAGTATATTAAAAAAAAAAAATAATTAATTAAAAAAAAAATTCAAATGTGTCATAAAATATTTTCTTTGTAAAAAGCTTATTATATAAAATTGAAGATTTATAAATGATAATAATGTTTTTGTAGAAAATATCTAAATTAAAATTCATAGCGCTGACAATGTTATCTGATTGAACAGAGATTAAGTGCGTAGCGGTTTCTATGTTGATTGTCGCATGCCTAATCCTTGTTGTTAATTAAATATAAGTAAATCAATGTTTATTTAAAAGAGCAACACACAAGTTTCTTGCTTATTCTTCTTGTGATGAATCTGCATTCCGAATAAGCGGTAGAATAAAATGAAACTTGATTATTCAAAAGTGCTTATATTAAGTTTATTTGAATAAAGATTATTTCTATTTCTATTAGCCGTCCCGGCTTCGCAAAGATGTATTAGAATTTTTTTTCTTTTCTTAAATTTACGGCTTGTTCTGTACTATAACACGCATGTGTTATACATAAAAGCCTTCCTCTCGAATCACTCTATGTATTACTGAAAACTGCATTAAAATCGATTGTGTAATTTAAAAGATATAAGTGAACAGACAACGATGACGAATTTGTTTTATACTATGTATAGCTATACAGCTATACATCTTTACATAGCGTATAGCTCAACTACCTGAATACACGTAACTTATTTATTTGTCATTTATACATCTACTGTATTCATCTGCCACGTTTAGATTTTTTTAGCCAATATACTAGTATAAATTTTATTACTTAATGGATTTATATTATTTTATTTAATTCGGCTACCATCAGCATGTGTAAGATCACAAATAATCAGTGCGCAAACGTTAGCACCGCTACTGGAAGCGTTGTGGCCTTCCCTATTAACACAGATAATATATGCTATTAGTATAGTACATAGATCGAGTTCTGACCGTTATTGGATCTACCCATAATTACGACACGACCTACAGTCGTAGCCTGGTCACTAGTGGTCACCGAACACTCAACAATTCCAAGTTATATCCGAACTCTATTAATTACTTGTATCGACACGTAATTAATGCAGTTCGGATATCAAGCAAGCCTCTAACGCAAGACATCTTTGTTTAGACGTGAAACACGCAATATGGGTGTAGATCCAATAACGGTTGGAATTTGATCTCTAATAAGAAAGGTCATAACGCTTCCAGTACCAGTGATCAGGTTTCTGTATTGAATATCTGTGGTCTCACACACGCTAACAGTGGCGGTATTAAATAAAATAAATAAATAAAGTAAGTACTGAAATGGACTTACGTAAAATAATATTAAATTCGATAAATATAGTATAGATTTACCAGGATTTGCATACACGCGAGGGCCGATTGTATACGATGGGTTCCCATCAGTGATGTATGAGGTTATCATTGCGTTCTGAAGATCCAGCCCATGTTTGAATGGTATTACTGCAGTAATTATAGTAGGTCCTGAAAATACATTAAAGTTTTAAATAATGTGGTGACTTACACCATATATGTATACTTTTATAATATAATATTATTTAAAAAAAGGATAAAAATAAATATGTAGCCAGGTATCGTATCTTAGTCGCATTTATTTTAGATACAAGCAGCTTGATTTGCAAGCTGCGTAACGGTTCAATTGTTGACACTTGGCTGTGAAATTACAGATTACTACGCATATCCAAGACAATATATTATTACATATTAAATAATATTAAATAACATGCGCAAGTTTGCCTACGTCACAATTCCCATTTTTGCAACATTTTTGTTTGAAGCTAGGCTATAACATTATCCTATAAGTCATAGCATAATGTTATATAACTTATAACATTCCTCGATATATGTATAATATGATAAATGATATTTGCTATGGAATACTAAAAAAATTGTAATCGGTTTAATAGATCCAAAGACTTACAACCTTACAAACTCACAAACAGCAAGGAGGTAAGTTTGTTCGCCATTCTAATTAATAAAAAAGAACTTACTGAGTTACAAATTAAGGTTCAACATACCATAAGTGACGTTTGAAAAGTCACTGGTGACCAACGGCTCCTTGCCCACACGATGGAAGTAAAAGTCACTCACTTCATTGTATTTTCTTATCGCTTTAAAGTTTACGGTCATTATTAAATTACTCGTATTCTTGTTGATGCTATATTAAATAATAACAAAACGTTAATAGTCAAAAGTGTATAATAATGTATGCAACTGAAGAGCTATGAAAGTTAAATAAGCTAGAATTAAAGCCAATAGCGATAGGTTTTCTCTCATGTTCAGTCGCAATGATTGAAAAGATAATAGACAAACAAGTTTAAAGGCAAACAATATTTATCTAGTCTCAATTTGAACCCAGACTTTAACAATAAACAAAAAGTATATATGCGTGTGTGTAATATTTTTTTTATTGATTTTGTATTTTTATACAGAGTTAAAAGAAATGTTCTGCACCCCTTCCTATATAAGGAACAAGGATTACAGAAAAATGTTTTTTACAGAATTTCTTTTTTACTTTGTTGGCTTGTTCATACGAATAAAATGGATCCTTTTTTTGGTGAAAATCGAGTTTTCAGTTACGTGTACATACTTTAAAGCAATCTTGTTTAAGGAAAATATGACTAGTGTGTATTGTTGATATTAGTTACTTTAACTTATGCACAAAATTTCATTGGATTTTCGAGTTGGATTAGTCAATGTACAAAATTGTCATTCTAATAACCTCAAATAAAGCAACCTCAACTAAAGTAAATAATTTAATACTTACTAAAACGTTTCAATCGGTTCGTTCAACCCCCATATCCTTGTTTTTGATAAAACTAATGTTATATTGAATTTAATTAAATTCATAACTGAATACGGTCTATATAAAGGCTCAGGAACATGATTATAAGACACGGCACAATTTGATCTGCTTCTAAAGAACTGGCGTATGCAATTCAAATCATGGGTGCGACAGGGGTGTATAATATGCTCGTCGTTATTATCATTTAGAACTTTCTCACGGTAACTATGTTCTTGATTTAGTTCGTTTAGTATTTCAGAACTTTGGTTATATTCCTCATATAAATCTCTGTCTATTAGTGACAGATTATGATCAGAGTATCTGAAATTCTCAGATGTTTCTGAAAAAATTAAAAAATCATTGCATGTGACATATATGGTCGTTTATTGTGTTATTTGGCTAACATCTGGCGGGTTATATCTATGCTTAAAGCAAAATGAAACAATGTTTCATTATTCTCTTACTAAAATGTCGAAATTATATGTTGCCTATGAAAGTATTTAGAAATATACTAAATAAAGTGTTAACTTATTTACAATTTATTGGAGAGAATCTTTTTTATTGTAATTTATAACGTATATTTTTTTAATGCTGATTTTTTTTATCAGTAAACTGCTTAGTAAACGATAGATAAATCTGTTATTGTAAAGAACAAAATATATCTAAATATTATTATTAATTTACAATAAAGATTGTTTTTATTTAATTATTATTTTCAGAGGTTCGTTACATCACCTGCTAATTTGTATTATAGTTTTTCTACATCTCAAATAGTACCTGTATGCAACTGATTTACATTATGGCGCCAAAATGTAACAAACACAGACAGACAAAGAAATAAATAAATAATGAATAAATTTTACATTTTTAACATTAGTTTAAAAAAGTTTGAATTATTAAGAAAGTAACTCGCTCACCTGATCTCAATCGGTCAATAAAACAGTACAATACAAAAATGAAAAGTCCACGCACAATCATATTGATTTTAAACATTGGGAAGCATTCGTCATAATACTCCTATTATATATGTAGATTGTGCATATCGCGTGACTATGATATTTCAATGTTTCCTCGATGTACAACATAAGCAATTAGTATTTACAATTAGTTTTTTGTAACGAGCGCAGCACCGTCTATACAATTAATAACTTTATCGCCAACAACAGAGAGTTCAAAATATCATAACTGTTGAAGATGTGTAAAAAATACCCATCTATTAATTGCTAACCTAAATGCATTTAAAAAAACATGATTTGATTAGTTGTCGTAAAAATCGTTTTAGGGCCATAATTCACTGTCTTACATTATGTGAAACATAAATAAAAACATAATCTTTCAGAAGATTTTAATGATATCAAATTATTAAAAAAGGAAACCATTGCATTTTATGCATTCAAAGTATAAAATAATATAATAAAATAGTATAATATAATGGATAGAAATATAAATATGGATAGAAAGCCTGAAGAGAAATGATTTACAAGACGACGTTGTAGCCGCAAATGACATTTTGAACGAAGATGCGAATAAATGACCTTGCTTCGGTTGCAAGAGCATTCCTTACAGTCAATTCAGGGTTGGCAATATAGGACGCTATATTCTTCTGCACAATGGGCGCTGAAAAGAAAAATTATTATACTTGAAATTAATATGTGATATACTGACGGAGTAGAGTTATAATACATATAATAATTAAACATAGTAAGCATAAAACATACATAAACTCTAATATGACAGCTGACAGGGAAATGTGGAAGAAGATATTGCCCACCCCAAAAAATGTTATAAAGTAAGGCAAGTTAAGGCATATTGATGAAAACTTTTCATTTACAAGATCTGAGAGATGAAAGGTTACATCAAATAGTAGGTGGTAGCTGCAGAACAAAGCGCAATCGCAAGTACATGAGTAGAAAATGCCAAAATATTACTAGGTCAGTGTAGTTATAGATTATAATAATTATAAGATCTTATACAGATTAGAGTGTGTGTTTTAGAATCTACTTGTGAATTATCTCAGGTAAAAGTTAGACTATAGTTTTAAGTTAAGACAGTATTCAAAATCTAAGATTTTAGGTGTGCCCTGAGTTGGTTGATAAGAGAACGGCGCTTGAATAGATTTTTACCGCTGCCAATGTGGTAAAATCTACAGTCAGTGAGGGGGCCAGAATTAGACGAGAAAGTATTATAAGAAATATAGTAATATCAAGAAAAGGCGCAACGAAGCGAGTACGGAAAAGTTTGATAATGAATTGACGATGGACCATGGTGGTGCTAGAATAGCTGAATATGTACATCTGCCACTGCTCTCAGATATTATATAAAAACATTTATGCACCATTTGTCGTGCATAAATGTTTTTATATAATATACGTTTACGAATGGGAAATTAGCTACTTGCTTATTTTTTTATTGGAAAATGAATAGCTTGCAATGTAATAAATAAAATTAACAACTTGTGAAAGCAACAACAGATTTTCAGAAAAGTAGCAAAAGAAAAACAAAATGGTTTCTCGCAGGTAATTTCAAATTTAAATTATTTTTATAATACTCATCTAATTTACTGGTATTACGTTAAAATTGATTAATATATAATTAGGATTATTAAGTAAGAATATTGTAGCTTCATTAACTACCATCCTGACATATAGACAGCAAAGATCGGAAGTTCTAATGTTGTTGTATATTAAATTATACTTCGGAATCTCCATAAAATATTATTATATGTTAAAAATTTTGATCTTCAGTTTAATTCAACAAAATGTAGGTTAACTATTGCATCAACTGCGGTAGGAAACAATCATTGTTTCTATCTGATAAATATATTTTTAATTATTTTTACTAGATAAAAAGGTTTGTTCATAATTTTTAGGTAGAAAATAGCTTTATTTTTGCCAATTCATTCATTACATTCTTTGTCCTGCAAAACTCGGGGGTTTTTCTGTGTCTCCTGTAGGGGTTTGTCTGAAATTATATATATAAACTTACATGGGTGTGTATAAATTCCCGGTCCGAAACCATATGCTGGGTTTCCTTCTTCACTGTACGCACTAACTACCGTATACCGGAAGTCAATGGTTGGTAATAAGGGAGTAGTGGTAGTTATTAGTGTTCGTCCTGGATAAAAATAAAATTAGCATTAGATTTTCTATACAAAACCATCAAAGATTAAGTTTTTAATATAAAGCATTGTTCCACCAAATATTAGAAGCAAATACAATAATATTTTATTAAAAAAGTGTTGTTCAAACTCTTATAGAATTAACAATTATCCAAAATTATAAATGCAGCCATGATTTAGACGTCAGTAACGGCACCATATGAGTATACAGACATTACATGATGACGTGATGTCGTGATGCTGTTCCTGTGTATAGCCAAGGTTTACCAAATAGATAGCCCATCAGCTAATTTGCCATTGCCATTGCAAAAATATTCATTACAAATGTATATTTCGGAACTTAACCTGCCAAGCGATCCAAGTTTCCTCATAGGGCCTGCAGTGTTCAATCATCGACATGATATAGATACTTACGATATATTACGCGGGACCAATCACTGGTTACAATTGGCACTTGACCTTTACGATGATGGTATACAACAGATTTCTCTGTGGCGACATCAATTTTTTTAAACGAAACGGCGAACACCATTTGATTTGTCCGTTTATTTAAACTGGAAAAAAATATATAGTCATTATAATAATTGTTCTATCCTATTACTTTAAATGAGAATTGTTCTGAGGTCAGTGTGTATCAATTTACGGCTTTTTAACGATGTTATTATATAATTATATGATAAGTAAGTTTTCCACGACATAGTTTTTTTTTTATAAAATAAAAAATAGCATATGTTCCTCGTGATAACATCTAACTTTATATTTATTAAGATCTTGTATAATAATATACATCTCAGGACAATTCATACAGCACCATCTAGTCTCAAGCTTAGCAGAAACTCTGTTTGCTCTGCTGCTTTTCGGCCATGTATATTACACAGCTGATATAAATACATTTTGTTTGTAAATACATACATAATATACATAAGAAACAACAGGACCGATACAAACAAACATACTCATGAATACAAAATGGTACAACACCACCGTGTTTAGTAGAGAGACAGTAGAGACAAACTTTCACATTTATAATACTATGTGTGACCCCTACTTAGCTAGCTTCTTTTTAAATAAAAATGAAACTGTGGTCTCGTGACAATCTATTTTCAGCCGTTTAGTCTTTAAATGCCAATAAACCGACTGACATATACAATTTCTTATTTATAATATTAATGGTGAACTAATTACAAAATATTTATATACACGTACTGGAATTCGTTAATTTTTCCATTCAAACCACGAATATGGCTATTAACATCAATGACTGTCATATTAAAATCTATAAAGTTTAAGATATTGCTATCACGAAGATAAGGGTCGGGAACACGGCCACGGGGTGGGGTGCAATGACGTCTGGAGGCAAAGAATTTCCTAATGCAGTCGAGGTCATCGCGGTCACATGGTCGGACGATGTCATCTCGATCATCATCGTACGGGACTGGAAAAAAAAACCATGTGAAAAGTATCGTTCATAAAGGAACAGGTAACTTTCTTATTAGTATGTCTATTTACTGTATACCTCTTTACTCGACTACCGCGAAGAAAAAAGGAGTTATGATTTTGACCGGTATGTATATTCTCTTCTAATAATATCATATAAACAACAGATAAAATGTCTACCCACTTTCTTAGTCTCTTACTGCAAGCTGCTTCGTATCATATTTAGGAACATTATAAAGAAATAAATGACAATAACACACACAAGTTTATCATGGCTGAACACTTAATAGACTCGGGGTCGAATCACTAAATAAAATTTCACTTTCAATTTAGGTCTCTAATTAATTGTTAAAGAAGCAATTGGCGTTTACATATTTACAAATATCAAAATTTCAATAGGTTACGTTAATAGACGTTTAAAGTTGTCCAACACATAGAATCCTGTTAGGTATACCTATACGTAAAAATAAGTGCAAAGCAGTATTGAAGTATATCGATATAAAATATATATAATATGTATTGTATATATATATATATTTTATATATATAAATATATATATATATTCTATTTATTTTTATTACCTATTGTATAATGGACAATTACAATTGTAGTTAATATTAAATACGCCACTTGAACCTAATAGGTTGACACCTCGAAGTGAATATTAACTTATTTATATTTAATTAGTATACCTCTGAATATGCTATCTGGTAATTCGTAACGGTATAAATATTTTTTATTATATTTACCTGCTCCCACACTAATAAAGAAAATAGTCAAAAGAATCCAACACACTTGACCACTCATGTTTGTAACACAATAATTTTATGTATAGATGTAATAAGGGATGTTTTATATGTACTGTACACAATCGCGTGTTAATAGGTGTGGGTTTAACTCAGCTGCTAAATGGTTATCATAATTTATTCACAGCTATTGATAAATAATGATGATATCATTAAAATTAAAGTGGCGACTGATGCTGTAAGGTTTTGTCTATAGTTCAAACGAGAAGTGTACATCAAAGTATTAGTGGAAGATGAGCTAAGCCTGTAACAATCCGCTACCCATTAAGATGACCGCGGTAGTCTAGTCGTTTAACACCAGTTTACTTCTAATGGTCGCGCGTTCAGTTCCTCGCACTAGCAAACATTTGTACCTATGAATATGATTATTTGTGTTGGTATAAGTGTTTTCTAGTATAAAACTTCTGAATTGTCATATTTTTATTAGTTACATAAAATCTACTTAACTTAGGCCTAGATCACGCTATGAGAATAATCCAAGGTTATTATTATATAACTATTGTCATCCGCTTTTGGCATCTTAAAATAATTGAGCATCTGAAAATTCAGGGTCTCAGATTTTTTTTATTCTTATAAGAAAATTTCACCTAAAAAAGTTCACGTCATTTAATTTAGATAAATTTTTAAGAGGAAAACGAAAACGTTATCCGATGGTAGTTAGATACATCTTCACAATACAGAAAGAAATAAAATCTGAAGAATTATAATATAATTAAAAATCAGTTCTTAATCATCATCGTCACCACTGCTGAACATAGATCTCTCCCAAGGCACGGCACTTGATAGGACCCTTAGCCCTTCTCGTCCAATTATTGCCCGCAACCCTACGTATGTCGTCACATGACCTAGCTACAGGGTGCCCTACGCTACGTTTGCCAGAAATAAAAAAAAATCACTCACATAATAATAAACTATTGCCTTATACATAAAACATTATAGCATCTCAGTATTTACTCAGCCCCTTAATACCGTAATTGTTACCAGATAGCCTTACATTGTAATTAGCAGGCATGCATTTGCTTATATAATTATTTGATTAACCAAAATGGAAATATAACATTTAAAGCGTTTCCAAAACTTAATTGCGAGCAATTTATTTTTTAATAACTTATATTTGTATACAAATTACGTTTGATAATCATCAATTATGCTTGATTGATGGTTATTTTTTTTACTAAACTTCAACGCACACAATATCAAAGGTAGTATTAACCATTTTCTACCATTCAACCATAGGTGCTGCAGAGAATAATTATTGGCATTGCAAATATAATAAATTATATACTAAATTTAAACAGAAGGCAAAGTATATACCTAAGGGATACAATAATATATTACATAAATAATCATATCGTCTTACCTTCATTATCCTATCGTCTTAGGGGTTAACGAGGAATACTGTCTTCCTACCAGCTAAAGATTTTAAGTAACCGGAAGTAAAATAGCTAATAAGCTGACAGCTGGGGAAACGGATTGTTAGTAATGTGGACTAATAATCCCATTACTAGCAATGTACCGTGTTTGTTTGACCGCTACGTGGTTTCCCCTGGAAGTAATCCTTGTAGGAAAAAGCTGACGGCTCACCTGGTTGTAAGGTAACCGTTGCCTACATATATCAAGAGCAGCATTAACATCATTCGACGCATATAACACCCCTTATGCGTTGCTATTCAGAGGACTACCTCTGTACACTGTCATATTTATTTATTCCGGATTACAACCATATTACATATTAGTGAACAACTTATGAACTATATGGTATTAGTAAATTATATCATCATCATCTGCTTCTTCCTTGTCCCTTTTATTTGGGGTCGGCGTAATATGTTTTTCTCTTCCATTCCTCCCTGTTCGCAGCCATCTCGTTATTTACTCCCCTTCTTGCCTTATCAACTTTCACACAGTCCATTCATCTCTTTTTCCGTCTTCCTCTGCCTTTATAACCATCCACATTCATATGTAACAGCTCCGTTAAGATATGATCTTCATTCCCACCTGTTTCCTTCCTACTTGTTAGTAAATTATAATATATAAGAGGACTAAGATATTCTAGCTCTGTATACTGTTATATAACTGCTATATCTCACCCTTAAATCGAAACATAGCTTACAACTATTTAGTGAAGAAAATAGGAATAGGTAAGAGAGAAGAAAAATGTAGAGATACAATAACATACGTGTAAAGTTGGGGCGGATCAATGGTACTTTACAAGAGACTAATAGAATATTTTCAATATACATTTCACAACTTTATTATAAGTAATTTGAACCTGTTGGAAGTTAAAAGTGTATTGTTCAAGGTAAAGGTGAATTGTGTTATTAAGCCGAGTGGAGGCGTATTCAAAGTCATAAAAAAAACTTATAAAAACCCAAGAGTTAGAAAAAAATTGTTGAGGTGCCATACTAAGACAATATATATTTATAATATGCCATATGGTATAGAGTATCTAGTTGACTCTATTAGTTCCAGTAAATTGTTATCTATGCTTACTATACCCAAAGGTAGTCTGGATATGCTTAGCGATAACTGCCTTTTATATTCGTTTATATAAATTTGTTATTTTTATTATTTTCTGTATGAATAAATAAACATACAATGTTTTTAGTATTTAGTAGTATATTATATAATTAATATGTATGTAATTTATCCATAAACCAAATTTCATTCGAATCTATTAAGAGCATGATTGAATAAAAGAAAAGAAAATTATAATAATTATATTGGTAGTAGTATTGATTGTATATTAAATACAATATTGTAATATATGTATTAATTCTGCTGTACATGTGGTTGCCATAATTCCTAAATTTGACTATTTTTGGATAAAATTTTGTGTATAAGTTTCAATAGGTTTCTCACTTGGGTTCGGTAGGTAGCACGGTACCTTTTACAGATGAATAGACGAGATCTTCGTCTGCCAGGATTACAACAAAAATAACATTTCAGTAAATAATTATTAGACACTGAAATAAAAGTTTCTATTACAGTTTGATACCTTCACGGTAGAAATAGGTAAGATGGTGACACTTTCTATCACAAAACTTTACCTCTCTGAAAATAATAAAAAACACATTTTTATCTTCAAAATTTACAGCCACAATTATTTATTAATATAAGACATTTATTGCCACTTATTGCCTTTAAAATTATCTCCGAAAAAATCGTCTATACGCGTATGATATAGTAATAAAATAAAATATAATAAATACCGGTACGATATAAAATGCCACATCTATTTTTCAACAATAATATAGACACGCGGCAGCGTGTCAAGCCGAGTTTCAAGTAAACTGGCTTGCAGCACCGTGTGTATATTTACACGAACCATTTGGAGCCACTTTTGACCCCCTCATAACTCAAAAACTCTATCACACAAACCTGTCAAATTTGGTTCATATATTGAGACTTGCGAGATAAATATGTGTTCCAAATTTCATAAACATATCTCAAACGGTTATTTAGATATTAATGTCCAAAAATCGTCATTTTTATCACTGATCAACTATAGATCAAAATTATAACCCACTTCCAGATGACCTAGGAAGTTCAAATTTGGCATGCAGATAGGTAATTAGGTGAATATAAAGGAAAAAAATCTGAAACTGGTAAATTGTTATCATTTTACTACAATTTTTCACTTTAATTGATTATATTTCAACTTATACTGGACGAATACTAAAATTCTATGAAAACGTCGATAGCCACCAATTGACATTGATCCCTGGCGAAAAATTTCATCTTGTACTGGACGGAAAGTAATATTGTATGAAAACGTCGATCATTACCAATTTACGTTGACACCTTCACATCAGTGTCGATAACTAGCAAACTTCAAATATTGCATTGAGCGGTAAACACTAGTTGCTATAATTTAGATTCTGTCTAAAATATACTCGTACTTATAACTAGGAGTATAGTCGAATTTCGTATTTATTATGTTATTAACTGAGATTTGGTATTAATTATTATTTCAATATTTAGCGCACATCGATAGTGTAAAATCATTATTTTTATAAATAATTATTAAATAATAGACATTTCGGTATAGGGCGCCGCGGCGCCGTGTGGGAGCGGTGCGATAAAACGTTGACGCGAACCTGTCCGAGCGAATGGCAGCCGCCCTCATATGTCTCAATGTTTTGTTTCTCGATATCTAACCTATAAGGTTGCGATTTATGCTACGAAATTTATAGCTTTCTTAAATTATACTTATATATTTGTGGTTATATTATTATTACATTATTTTAGTAAATACGTATGGTATAGACAATAGTTTAAACCAAAAATTAATAACAATTTTAGTATAGTTATAAGTAGGAATTTATAGTTAACTCGAGAATGAGAACTCATTGGTAACAAATTGTTTTCTTGAGAATTCAATAGATAACAGTCAATTTGTTACATAATCGTCTTTACGAACTATAACGTGTCAATACGAATTTTCAGATATTAAATAATGTATATGTTGAAAGAGAACAATTCCGTATTTGCTTAACATATGCTATTACTATCCACAAATCACAAGGCCTTAGTTTTGGCAGTCCTCTTCTCAACATAGGCTCCTCCATATTTAATAAAGGGCAGGTTTACGTTGGACTCTCCAGAGTTAAAACCTTAGATGGGGTACGTCTTAACAATTTAGATCCAAGTCACGAGAGCTCTGTTGTAGAGTACAACCATCTGTGGACGTTATACTGCCCCGATTTGCCCAAAAATTCCTGATACTGAATTGGCTTTGGACTTCAACATTTAAAAGTTACAAGAAAATATAGAAAATAACACAAAAAAAAGACAATTATACCCCGTAAATATACGAAAATACAGTAATTTATCAAAAATAATTTGGTATTAATTTAGTTATAAATATGTACCTAGTATAATTTATGTACAAAAAGTAATGATATCCCATCAAAAACATAAATGTGAAATGATAGCCGAGTTTAATATTATGATATATGCCTTGATTGTTGACTTCTACGATAAAAGAGATGAGATCTAAAT